AAATGGATATTGTGATATACCAGCTGTTTGATTTAATTTAACTGCTTCAGTATATGCACTTTGAAGAAATGCAATCCTTGACCAATCGATTTCTGTCAAAGATGTTTGATAGACAGTTAATGATGAAAAATTTTGAATATCTGTAGACAAATCATTTTCAATTTTAATCTAAAAATATATAGCAAAAATTCTTTTCTTTTTTTTTGTTGATTTCTTTTTAGTCATTGAATAATTACGTGTCTGTTTATTTCTTGTGAATGTTCTCCATCATCATCATGAATTTGTTTAAGACGACGATTTTGTTCGATTTTAAATCGTTTTTCTTGTTTTCTATAATATTTTATTTCATTATATATATTTTTATTATTAGAAAAAAGATATATTCAACTTACTCTTTTTCTGTAAGTATCCATTCTTTACGCATACCTAAATACAATAAAAATATAATAAATCAAGTTAATTCATTTGAGTTAACCTGTTTGAAGACATTTATCTAGACGACATTTTTTACATCGTCTTTTTTGATCAAATGATACATTACATTGACCATTACCACAACATTTTAATTTTCCCTAAAATAAAATTTCAAATTAAAAAAAAAAACAAAATTTTTTCTATTACGAAAAAAGAAAAATATTTACCGATGGTCGTAATGCATTTCGACGAAAAAAAGCTTTACAAGATTCACATGATATTGCATCAAAATTATAACCTAAAAAAAAAAGACAACTAAGTTATAGAAAAAAAAAGTAAACTTTTTTTGTTTTTATTTACCATGAGCATCACCATTACAAACAACACATGTTAAAAGTAATTTATGACGTTTATTTCCTTGTCTTCTTTTATGTCCCTTTGTATGTTTTATTAAACTACGATCTCTTTCCGTATAATTTGTCTGATTTTTTAGCATGGTAATTATTTACTTATTTTATCTAATCATATTAAAAAAACAAAAAGCAAATATATATATTTTTATATTGTTGAAATTAATATTATCCTTAAAGACACAAAAAAAAAACAAGAAAAAGACAAATATGTTCTCAATCTTATTTATTCTGATAACTAATTTTTTATGTATAAAAAAAGCTTTCTTTTTTTACCGTAATGCTATCTAACTTGTTGATTTTATTTCGTATTGTTTCTATATTTACACGTTGTATGATGCACATACAGGATACAATCATGAGATAAGAAAATATCTGAATATAAAATAATACATGCATATTTTTTTATGCATTATTACCTCAACATAGAGATATGGTGTAAGGGAAAAAAAAGCTAAATGTAACTTGAATTAATCAGTGGAGCATATCATTAAAACGTAAGCATTATCATATATATTTGATATTTATTTATAAAAAAATTTGTTTACATCTTAGATATTGGTTAGTATGAATAAATAGAAGAATCATAATTGCTACCAAAAATAAAAAAGAAAAGAAAACAAATAATGATAGTATAACATATGTTGTCATTTCATCATCTAATTTTACTTGCATGTTGTTGTTTTTTTTTATTCGAAACAAACAATGTATTTTATACCTACAGTAGATGCTTAACAAGCAAAGAGTGCACGTGTTGTTGTAGTCTATATAGAAAAAGAAGAAGTAGAATATACGGTGAAAAAAACCAACTCGTGTACTCGATGCCTTTTCGTCCTTCTTTCTCCACGCTGCACTATGACATAGAAAGTGACTGGCAAAAAACAGAATAGAAGAAATGTTTTTTTCCCCTTCTCGATGCTCCTTCTCAAACTGCTCCCGATTTTTTAATGGCAAGAGAAAAAAAAATGTCTATAAAAAAAAGGCTCTATTGTTTGAATCTCTGATCAACGTTTTTTTTTCGAATTCAATAAACAAAAATAAAATTCTTACTGTAACATCTAGAATCAACCGATTGATTAATAATTACATTCGAATAAATCTGTATCTTAAATGCCAAAAAAAATATCAATGCTCAATAAAATATTTGACGTTACGCGTCAGTTTATCATGCAACTAATACGACAAACGAACGTGCAAGAAAAACGTGACCTAATATGGGTTGTTCTTTGCCTGCGTTATTTCTTTTCGTTCTAAAATAGGCATCAAGGGTATATATACATGCTTGTATAACTAGAACATAGAAAAAAAAAAGAAATATATAAGCCAATGCCCTACAATGGCTTGGATTAGGATTAAACCATGGAGAATAGTAACTATTGTCTGTCAAAAAGTATAATAATGGCATCCATATTTGTAATAATTGATAAACGGACAGAATAAGAAAGCTGCAGTTTTCATTATCGGGTAAATAAATGAATGTTCTATAAATTCAGTAATAAACGCTGCAAATCCTTGTGGTTTGAAGGTTTTGTTTATTATAAATCATCCAAAAATTTTATGGCAGGTTTTTTTAGAGTTCTACATACACTTTTATATGTAAACTATTCAAAAGATTCTCCAGAAGACTTTCTATAAAGTGATGAGTATCTGATTGGTTTCTTTTTTTACTTTTTAATGACTATTCAATGGCATTCATTTTCTTCGAGTATTTGTAATAGATAAAATACATCGCAAAATGCATGATAAACAAGATTTTATCTTGTAGTGATCAATTGAATGAATGATGAACAATTCTTTTAAAGAAAAGATGCATTCGTTAACTTTTATGAAATTATAATTTGACATTAAAATGTACTAATCAAATCCTACATTTAACATAGAAATTAATATTATAAAGAATATTAGAATATAGAGAGCATATATACACAAGCATTACGATGAATAGAGAAGTGAAACAAAATAATTTCATGCAAAATACACGAATCTTGAATTTTAGATGTGCAATTTATAATGAAGGTCAGTAAGCTCTTTTTTGTAATATATATTACCTTTTGTAATAACAATGCGCAAAATTATATATATATATATATTTTTTTTTTATATAGGGCAGTTTGTCCTACTGTTGCAAATACAGAAGTGTCTTTCATATAATAGATTGTTAGTTTATGAAATTTTGTTTATCATGCATTTTGCGGTGTATTTTGTTTCTATTATTGATATCAGAGAAAATGAATGCCATTCAAGAACTATAACAGTTTAAAGAATTCAGCTTCGTATCAGTTTGTGGAGAATCTTCTTTGAAGTATCTCTTGAATAGTTTGTACATAAGAGTGTATATGGAATTTAAAAACATTGCTACGGAGTCTTTGAAAGATTCATAATGAATCAAGTCTGAAATAGAAAACTGCAGTTCTCTAGTTCTTGCTATTCTTCAATTATTGAAAAAATTGCTACGATAATCACATTTCCAGATAGACGGTACGTAGATATTTTGTCAATACTAAGATTATAATAGATTGTAAAAGACATAACCTTTATAGTAAATTGTTTTTAAATATTTATGATATAAGAGCATCGAAAATAGCAATATATGCGTCCCTTAAAAACTCAGATTTTGATTTAATCTTTAATCAGTTTTGATGATCGTATTCATTATTATTGTATTGTTCTATTTGATAAAATACTATAAATAAAAATGTCATATTTAATCAAACTATTCATTATATTTAATCAATTCATTTAATTGCAAATCGTATTTTATGTCGACATACACCCAAACCATTTGATTCATTTTTTATCTGAATGAAGAAAAATGTCGTTAGTTAGTAAACCACGTGACACAATATTTTTCTCATTGATAGAAAATTGAAATAGGGAAATGATACTAAAGAATATCAAACAAAGAATTTTTGGCAACATTGTTAGACAGCGTGCTAGAGTCAATCAAAATCCTCCAGAGTTTTCATTTGATTATCAAAGACAGATACCCTTCTATATTTTTGACGCGAAAATTTATTAATATAGTTCATAATCATTGAAATAAATTTGAAATATTCAAATTCTATTATTAAGTTTGGATCCATACCTAATTCTATCAAGTACAAAAATGACATTAAATGTTGGGATGAAATTTTCCTTAAAAATTATATCTAAATCAAAGATTTAAGTATCGTAAATATATTATCTTGAAATCGACACATTCTTAATTTTATTTTGGACTTTTTCTATAATATTTAAACTTTTCATGAATTCATGTTACTTGATCATATGTATCACAATAGAAATAATAATATCTAATTGAAATATATCACTATTAATAAAATTCTCTAAGTTAAATAAAAATTGTAATGATTTTTCTATAACTATTTAGTTGATGTCCAATAATTTGCAAAACTTTAGCAAATTATTTACCTTATTCTTATAATTAACATGGTTAAATACTTGATTTTATTTTATATTTACATATTATATTTTGATAAACATTTTAACACTTTTTGACAAACTGTTTATGTGAAAAATCTTTGTAGACTTGCTTTGTCTCAAGAGTCAAATAAGTATGAGATGTAATAATAATAATAATAATGATTAATGTTGACAGATTATTGATTCCAAATGGAGCAGATAAATGAAAAAAACATTCCGAAGGCTATCAAACATTTGTAGAAAAGATAAATATTTAGTAATGCAAAATATGCATTAATTTTCTTTCTCATCGATCAAATGTCAATGATTCATATGATAGATATGTGTACAGATAATGCAAAAAAATACAATAAGTATTAACCATTTTTGCAATTTATTTAATTCTTACTTTGCTAAAATTGGTTCTTTTCTAAAACATTGACTATTTACTCCATAGCTATGCAAGTACTAAGTCAATCCCTATAAGAACTCCAAGGATATAACCAGCGAATATAAACTAGATGTGCATAAATGAGAAATTACTTATTAGATCCATTTGCAATTAAAAAAAAGCATCTAGAACTTAACATTCAGTGCACTAATGATCATTATTGATACGATTCGAGATATAAATATACTTAAGTCTGATCAAAAGTTTTGATAAGGTTATTAGCAATTTTATAAACTAGTTAACATTAAAGCAAATATTGCATAAATAAACAGTAGAATGTCTTGTCTATTATAATATATATAATAAATCTATTTTGGGCCTAGATGAAGGAACTTGCAACAGCATTGGAACTTAATGCTTCATCATATCGAACAATTGCAAGATGGGAAAAACGTCTTCATGAAAAAGGCGAAGATGTCAATAATGATCTTCAATCTGGTCGTTTAGTTTTTGAGTTTACAGATGTAAATTGTGAATTGGTACGAAAGGTTGCCAACAGTGATCCACATTCAATTTATGATGATATTATAGCTGAAACTACTCTCTATCATGGGTACAATAGAACGAATTATGCACAATTGTCTAAAGATGAGAAAAGTTGCATCATGATGGATGCCTCCATCAGCTCAACCATGAACAAAAACAAGAATCAGTTAGAGTTTGTCATGAAAATTTGGCGAGATTTTCGTAATGGATCATAGTGATGATGTCATATGATTACAAGTAATGAGGCGTAGATTTATTATAGGCAGATTGGATGCAAGTTGAATTAGTGAAAGTGAATCATCAATGACTATTGTCCATCGAAATAGATTTAAACCAAAATTGTTGTCGTCTCACTGGTGCTTTGTTACAGTGCCTTTACAGTCGTAAACGATCAAATAAGAGCCGTCTACATGCCGCATTTCGTCATAAACCTGATTCATTATTTAAGACCGTAATTACGTCATGTCGTATACGATGTGCTTATAGTCAAGATCAAATGATTCCATATAGCCGTATGGTCGCGGTATATATACTATGTTTCCACTGTATACGGTCAACATAAACGACCGTATACTATCATTTGCTATCGTATTTACATGAGCGTTTTCCTCATTGAAGAGAGGAATGACTTTCTATTATGCTCTCCTCTCGTAAAAAAAATATAATTTATTTTAATTCTTATCCTTGTATTTGTTTGAGATTTAATTTAAATTGGTAGTCAAGAAACGTGATCTACAGGTATTTTTAAAAAACACAATTGAGTGCGTTGAATGGACCGCAATAGAAGTTATCGATTGATATATATAAGCTGCTCAAAAATTTAAATAAAACTTTGTACTAACAAAAAAAAAGATTTTTTTTTTAACAGAGAACAAATGTATATAAATATTTTTATCAGAAATCGACTTCTAGAGGCATTAGATCATGAAGGCTTGGTAACGTTAGAGATAGGACTCAAGAGTATCTATTGATTGTCAACGATTTACATGGCAGCTAGTTATGCAGTTTAAATACTTTAATAATACGACGTCAATATAGTGTAGTTACAGTACGTAAACATCATGTTTATGTAGCATCGTAAACGAACACTATATACGGGACTGTATTACACCGTAATATAGTGGGCCGTATATGACCGTTTACATGCCGTACTATTCGACCTGAGTTGTATTCTTTTAATCCCTTCACCGTTATTGACGTATATATAAGTCAAAGCAATCTTTATGGAAAAAATGACAAATCCCAATCGTAACTAATCTGTTTTTTTATGTGCTTCATATCGAATCTATCATCCTGCACTGTCTGGAATCCATTGTACTGGTTCTGATGTTCATATGAATTATATCTCTCTGTATCAATTTCAAAATTATTTGCATTAATTGTGGGTTCGCTTCTTTATTAACATTATTATTGAATAGATTCTTACTAATTTATTAAGTGTGTTATTTTGAAGTTGTTTGTAACAGCCTGTTTAGATAATAGTGATACGCACAAGCATAACCGTTCACGTAAGCATTTGGTCTCTCCAGAACTTCTAATTCTGATCTACCTTTCAAAAATTCTAAAAGAACACTTCCCTATGTTCTTGTTATTGGAAAACAACTTCTGTTTTCTATATAAAATAATAAAACATGTTTGTCGCAAAATTTCTATATTATCCTTAAATGTTTGTGAATATTCGAAGGTTATTACGCAAAAAGTTTACTGTTTACTTTAAGAAAAATTTAACGTTGACGGGGTTAATAAAATGATCCTGTTCTCATACATAGTGTCAAACTTAAGTATAAAGATTACAACTGTCGTTGCGATCTTATTCTTTTTAGTTTGAAAGATCACGAGTAAGAGAAGACTACTGAAAATATTTAGATTCAGTATTAGGATTATCGAGAAAACCATGACGTCTGTTTTCACATGAGTCATACCTGCGATAATAAGAAGTTATATCTATGATGATTGAACTCAAAACAATTGACTTACCGAACATTACTACATTAACAAGTCCGAATAGAATCATAGAAGCATACAAATTTGAATTACGTGAAATATCGCACATTTTTCTTTTTGAAATGTCTCAATATAATGTCGATGAATAAGAGTCCCATTCAACAGGTCATTTATCGATGGACATCGCTACAAGGAAAGAATTGCTGAGGCGATAGTTAATGACATGATAGTCTATTCTCGAAAAATAATTTAAAAACTAGTTGCTAGAATTCTTAACCAAAAAGTAAGATTGAATGTAATTGAGGTATAAAATGACAGTGAATTTTGATTCAATGCAACTTTATTTTCATCATGTTTATTCAAACAGATTTTATTTTATTTTGAATTGTTAAAAAATGAATAAGTAATACGGATGAATAGTCGATTCGAATTTGTTAGTGTTCTCCTGAATGTTGTTCAAAATAAATTCATGTTGACTTGTTCAGATACACTAGTAAATAACATTGGTTATTCAATGCATATTGACTAACATGGATGCATTGTTCAGAATGACATGAACATTGATACCGATGATATTGAAGATGGAATTGACTAACAGGACATACAAAAAGCGAATGGTTGATACATATAACGAACTAATGAAGAAACGATTTCAACTGAGCAGTCGTTTTCACACAAAAAACTATTCGATTATAGGTTATCAACCATGGCGATTCCGAATGTGAACATGAGAAATCTTCTTAAATCTTTATATGTTGTTTTTCTGGAAAATCGAATTTTCAGGAGAAGAAACATTTTGCCAAAGTAGTTTTGGATCTGCTCAGACTACGGAGTATATCATATTGTCTATAGAACAATAATCTTTTCGGTTCTCGAAAAATGATCTTCAAGTAAAACAATATAATCTTTAAGATTACCACGTTGATATTTTAATATATACTTGCTGTATGAATTAAAATGGCTTTATTTTCTTCAAAAAAAAAAAAACAATGAGTTGATAAAGTGAATGTCGGTAGTTGATGATGTTCTCTTCAATCACACTAAGTAGCATTTGTTAAAAAAAGTGATTGATTAGTTGAAATGGTTCCTGCATGAAAAATACTTTTACTACATTTTCAATTAAACTTCTCATGGTAAATGTATCAAGCAGAAGTAAAATATACATAGCATATATTATTCTCGATAATACACATTAGTTCTCACTTTGATAAATAAAATAAGATTTTCTTTCCAAGATAGTTTAGATGGATTTATAAAAGGAAAAATTGTGAATATAACTTATTCTATTATTTTTCACATAACTTTATTCTTTTATTCTATCCCTCAATCTCTCTCTCTCTTCGATTATATCAGAGAAAGGAAGTAAAAGATTTCTTTTTCGCTTGTTCCCTATTTTTATTATCGATAAGTGTTTTTTTGCCAAACGAAAATAAAATGAAATTTTTCTTACGTTTTTCTATTTTGTTAAAAAAACATTATTTAAATAAATATGGTTGTTACGCACTTTGATAAACTCTGTTTATGATGAAAAATGTCAACATATACTTTGTCTAGAATAAACAGAATGTATTAAAACATTTCGTTTTGGATTTCCATTAGAGACGTCGGTTTTCAAATTTCAGATGGAATAAAAGATGTCACCAACATCTACTGTACTTTTATTTGTTTGCTTATTATACATAAATAATTTTAAAAGTTATGTCTTTTATCTATTATTATTTAACTTTTAAATATATATGAATGATTGATTTTTATTTTTAAGAAAATTTTTTTAATCATAGTTGAAGAGTATAAACTTATTGGTTAATTAATTCATCTATCGGAAATTAACTATGAAAGAAACTGCCGGCCGAACGAAAGAAAAAGAATTCCTTCAACTTTTATTCTTTCTTTCACTTTTTTTTTAAATACTGTTTGTTCAGCGTAGGCGTCCGATGGCAACAGTCATGTTCCGTCATCCAAAAAATTTTCAACATCCTATCTTATATAAATTTATTCATTGATGATTAGAATTCCTCTACTCAAATATCGAGTTTATTTTTTTCTTGTAAAAGAATAATAAATCTTAAACATCATTAAAAAAACCATAGAATTCGATTAATCAATTGATTCAAAGGAAAAAAAATATGTCATTAGAGTTTTTTTATATTTCAATCTTTTCTAGATTTATTTACTTATTCGTAGTCAAGAAGATGGATGACAACAATAAAAATATTTTTGATGTTCTTGAATCGGTTGGTTAAATTCATTTATTTTCGTTTAGATTATATCTCGATTTGTTTTTTATTCATAGCCATCATCACCAACACAATCAATGAATGATTTTAAAATGAAATCAACAACAACTATATCATCTAATAGTATACTTTCTATTCGTCGTTCTCATCTTCCATTGATGAATGCTGGTAATGGATTTTATCCTACTTCATCATCGCCGACATCTTCATCAACAGATGAATATCAACGAAAAAAGCGAACAGTAAATAATTGAGTTGTCATAATAAATAAATATTTCTTTTTTTTTTTTTTTTAAATTAGGATCGAGCACTTCATGGTCTTGGTTTTATTAATCCAGGTCCAAAGAATTTAGTTAATGTAGCTAATGTTCCAGCAAGACGTCCAAAAACTCGACAACCAACTACACAAGAAAAACCTAGGTAAAACAAAACGAAGAAATATTTCTCAGTGTTAATTCACTCTTAAGTATTTTGATTATTGTGAAAGTTTCAGACTTTTTGATTGCCTCTATTCTGAAAAGATGAGAGACTTATAATAAACTATTCTCATTACGACCTGTTTTTATGCAAAGTTTCAAGTCGAAATTCAAAACTCAGTTTTCTTGCATGGGAACCACGACATTCTGCTAAAAAATATAGTATCTTGGTAATAATAAATTATTGCCCTGAATTCTTTCCAGGGTATCCATAACTCATGAGATTCCAAATAATGCACATAGTCTCGAGTGTTAATGATGAAAGTTATACTTTGAAGGGAAAATTAATGATTCATAAAATAACAGATATGAAAGCATTAATAGTCTTCTTCTCAATTTCTTATATACTTCACCTATAGAGTTAAATTCTCAGGTGCTCAAGATATTTTTGAGTATTTAAAATTAGTTTCTCCTTCATACATGACTTTCAATATCGGTAATCATAGGTCGTCTAGATTTTTGTTTCTTTCATATTAGAATATAGCAACATACATAACTATTGTTTTTTATTTATTTATTTATATTCAAATAATCGTTGTCTTAATGATAATTCTTACGATCATTGAATATAATTGAGAGTCAACAAAAAATAGATCAAAGAATTTATTATAAAACCAAAAATTTAATTTTAGTACGAGTAAACCATTATATGATGCATCTGGTCTTCTCATATCTGATCAAACAGATCGATGTGATTGTAATCGTTTAAAATGTCCCGGATGTTTTATACCTTGTACGAATTGTCAGTCACCAAAATGTGGTATCGAATGTCGTAAATATTTTTACTTTTTTATTTTTGATTTATTTTTCTTTTTTTGTTTGTTTAATAGGAAATCATCGAACTTATTCTTATGAATATCGTTTGTATGGTACTAACAAAGAAATAATTCAACAATAAAAAATTAAGTGCAATATCTTTTTTGTTAATATGTTTTTTTTTTGTATACATCTATATATCTATATGCTTAAAGCTGATAATAACGTCTATTATGATATGATGTTTTTTCTTCTTTTTTTTCCACTTTTATAGATTGAAATCTTTCATATCTTGTTTAACTCATATTGAGTATATTCTAGAATAACATATGCTTGTGCGAAAAGCGCAGAGTAAAAAGAAATCAACAACTGGTACACCTATTGGTGATCCATTAGATAGTAGTTTAACATCAATAGAATGGCTACCAAACATGCAAATAGGAGAAAGTTCAACATCATCATCAGTAGCCACAGCAACAACTACAACAACAGCATTACCTATTAAACAATCATTACCTACTACAACATATATTCAACATAAAACTGAAGCTACTGAGATAGAAATACCGACAACTACATTTAATGATAACATTCATGTTAAACCTCCTTATAGTTATGTCACATTAATTCGACAGGCTATTCAGAGTACGAGAATGCGACGAATGACATTAAATGAAATTTATCAATGGATTGTTGATTCGTATCCATATTTTCGCACAGCACCACCAAAATGGAAGGTTAGATATCAATAATAATAAAATTATCTCTTATTTTATAAGATAAATTTTATTATAGAATTCAATTCGCCATAATTTATCATTAAATAAATGTTTTAAAAGACTTCAAAGAAGTACAAATGATCCTGGCAAAGTAGAATTATTTATTATTTCATTTATTTTTTTTTTATTCTATGCATTCATATTAGGGTTCCTATTGGGCAGTTGATGAATCGTTTGAAAGTAATAATCAAATGAATTCTCGTAAAAGAAAAGTATAAAAAAAGAAGAAATTTTTAAAACAAAAAAACTTAGATATATGCTTGTTCGCTTTTGTTTTTCTTAGTTCGAAGACACACAACAATCTCCTCATATGTTACCTTCATCACCAGGTACTTTAATTCAACAACCACCTGGTATTTATACAAGTAATAATCCAATGATATGTGGGGATATTAGTAGTGTTGGAGGACAATCATCATCAACTGATGAATCAGATTCAACTATGTCTCTTACAGCAAATGTAAGATTAATAATCATTTGTAAACTAATTTATTTTAATCATAAATCGATATATGATTCAAAATTTGAAACAGATTGATTGTGAATATTACAAAGATTTGTTTCTATTTTTTTAAACCTTGTTCTTTGAAAACAAATTGAATTTAATTTCACATCTTGACAAGTTTTTTCAAAGATTTTCATATTATACATTATCTATAAAAACGTTTTTCTTCCGGATACTATTTTTATTCTAACCTTATTGAAGCTTGACTTGAGTAGATAGTAAATGCTCTAAACACATCAATATACTGCTATCGACACCAAAATAAAATGAACACGAATTTTTTTTTTGTACAACTCGAGAACGAAAGCAGCTAACGATCGCCGGTTTTCACCATATGAAAGAGTAATGTGGAGAGAAGCAACGATATGTCAAAATTTGATTAATTATCAATTGACCAGTCAAATGAGAAGCTGTCCAAAATTTTGAACAACGCTTTAGGAAGACTTTTTTCATTTATTTTTGGGTTTCAATGAGACCATTCAATGGCTAAAATTGTTCTCTATTGATCTATGCAAGATCCAGTTCGCTAGGTCACTCAATTCAAAACTTATAAGGGTTTTCCTGAAATCCTTGATTTCGATGAATTGACATTTTCTGTTCGAAAAATAGATCTTCAGAGAGGTAATCAATCATGTTGAGTCGAGTGGTGATGTTCATTTTTGATTTCAAAGTTATCTGAGATTACTATAGTGAGATCAATGAAATTTGAAATTTTTTCAATATTTCACGTAAACAGCCGAAAAACGAAAGTCTTGCTATAATGGTTTCAGATGACTTTGAAACCAAAAATGAACATCATCCCTCGATCCAACATAATCAATTATTCCTTTGAAGACCTTTTTCTGGAACACAAAATGTCAATTCACCGAGGTCAGATATTTCAGAAAAACCCTTATGCCTACCGGATGGTCTTATTAGAATCCAAAAACCAATGCAAAAAAGTCTTCCGAAAGCGATGCTCAAAATTTTGAACAGCTGCTCATCTGATTGATCTATTGATAACCAATCAAATTTTGATATATCTTTACTTCCTTCCCTCCCTCCTCCCCCTTT